CGGTTTGCTGGTCATCCCCGCCACCCCCTCATCCCCCCCCCCCTCACGACCGTAAACCGGGCGCGAGAGAGAGGGAAGAGAAGGGCCGCGGGCTGTTGCTGCATAGTAACTCCCGCCACACCCTAATCCCCCCTCCCCCCCCCCCCACGGTGAAGCCGCGTCAGGGAGGTGGTGCAGCGCGCGCTGCTGCGCCTGGTCGCGAATTGGTGGCGTGGGGCGCGCTGGCGACCGTCGCCGGGGCTGGCGCTGGCGCTGGCGACTGTCGTAGGGGCTGGCGCTGGTGCTGGCGACCGTCGTAGGGCTGGCGCTGGTGCTGGCGACCGTCGTAGGGGCTGGCGCTGGCGCTGGCGACCGTCGTAGGGGCTGGCGCTGGCGCTGGCGACCGTCGTAGGGGCTGGCGCTGGCGCTCGCGTTGGCGCTGGTCGCTGGCGCTGGTCGCTGCCCTGGTCGCTGGCGCTGGTAGCGTAGCTGACGTGCTGCTGGGTGGGGCTACGGGCGGGCTGCAACTGCACGGCAAGGGGCGACAGTGCTAGCCATGTAGGCAAGTGGTGGGCCCATTAGGATCGGGTCCTAGGCAGGAACCCGCTCTGATAGCATGTTAAGATTAGGAGATTATGCAGTACTTAGGTTTAGGAGAGGTTTAGCAAAGAGAATCATGGAGGGAGAAGTTTGGCCAAAAGAGGGCTTTCATTATGAAGTTGTGAGTACAAATAGGAGGAGAGGAAGGGGAAAAGGGTACACCACCAGCAGTTGAACCTAATATCTAACTAATACACTAGCAAGCTGTAGGCAGTTATAACAGGATATGCAAATATACTTCAACACTGTGATATATATATATATATATATGTATATATATACCTGCATGCTTGCTCTTGCTAGGTTGTGATCACTACACTGTTTGTGCTTTTATAACTCTGCATGCGGCCCGCTTGCTTGTGCTGAGACTGCGTGGTGATCTTGAGATCCACCCTGAGCTTTGCTTTGCTTTGTTCTCTTGCTTGACTGGTCGTGTGACCGTCTGTTGTGTTTTCTATCCCCCACTTTGCCTATGGGGGTGTGTCAAATTGCATTTGTTATCTCTAGGCTGTAGTGGGGCATACTCTAAGGAGTAACACTTTGAGGTTAGGTAGTACTTGTACATCCTTGCTACCTAGTCCATCATTCCTACTTACTGATGGACTGGAAGCCCGCCTGCCACCTCAGTCCCAACGCCTCGTTGTCACAGATCCGCCGCATCACGCATAATGGTTTAAGTATATGTGCGTGTGTAGTCATCACACCTGACCTGATGGAAACGGATTTGCACGTAAAGAGTACAAAATGGTGGGGGGAATGTTCTGGAAATCCCCAAACCCCTGAATGCTTCTGCTCCAGCACGCCTCAATTGCAATACGTCACTCATTGCGGTCGTCGCAAGCCGCATCTTGCTGCGATCGTGTTACAAAGCGTATCTCGTGCCCTTCCGCCATCGCACACCGCCCCCTCTCGTCTCGCCCGTCGCGTTTGCTGCTTACACGTTTACTCCGCTCACCTTCTCGACTTCGCGATGGCGGGAGAATCCGCGTCTTCCGCCGTCCCGCCTACTCCGCGCGACGATGGCGGCGATAGCAGCGCAGCGCGCGCCGCGCCGGAAGCTACAGCCCCCGCTCCCCAGGCATCGGGAGCGCCAGGTGCACCTGGAGCGCCGGACGCGCAAGCGTCGACTGAGTCAGCAGAAGCGGGGGCAGAAGCGGCGGAGGACGCGGCGTTGGAAGCGGCGGTGGCGGCGCTTCCGTCGCTGCTGCTGACGCCGGAGCTGGCGGAGGCGGTGGATCATCCGGACGTGGCGGCGATGCGCAGCCTCATGGAGGAGACGCCCGAGGAGGAGGTCACGTGGCTGAGGGTGAGTGGTGGGCTGGAGTCGGGGGGTGCTCATGCCCCGTGGCGTAGCGCGTGCGCGGTATCGTGTGTGCGTGCGGGATGACACGGCTGGTTGCGCGGGTAGGCGCGGGCTGAGAGGCGCGCGGCCGATTTTCATCCTCCCGCCGTCCTCCTCCTCCACTCGCCCCCCTCTCCTTTCGACCTCTCCTGTCCTCCTTCGCCTGCTCCTTCCTGGCATCCGCTGCTTCCGCTACCCCATCCCCCTCCCCTTCTCCCCATCGTACAGGTGCGCGCAGCGCTCGTCCGCGCGGAGAGCAGGCGAGCAGCGCTGGTGAAGACAGCGCGCGCGCGCTCTGGCTCGAGACGCGCGCATCCCCCTGTTACGCCTCCTCCCGCACGCCCTTCATAACTCACACTACACCCCCGCACACTCTCGCGCACCCCCGCGCATCCCCGCGCGCACATCCGCAGGAGCAAGGCAACATAGCGCTGAAGGAGGGGCAGGAGCAGGGGCGCAAGGGGCAGCGCAAGCAGCAGCGACAAGCGTACCTCAAGGCCGTGGACCTTTACTCGCAGGCGCTCTCCGTGCGCGACGCGCACCCCCACGCGGACATCCCCGCCTCCGCGGTGGCGGTGCTGCGCGGCAACCGCGCGCAGGCGCACCTGCTGCTGGGGAACCACGGCCACGCGCTCGCGGACGCCGCCGAGTCCAGCCGCCTCGACGCCACCAACGCCAAGGTGGGGGGAAAGGGGGCGGGGGGGCGGAGGGCTGAGGGCGGACGGCGGGAGGGGAGGAGGGGGGGCGGGCGGGGGACGGGTAATGAGGCGAGGGGGAAGGAGGCGCTCGTTGTCAGACTTGATGCCATCCATCATTGCCCCCACCCACCCGCCCCCACCCATCATTACCAGATACTTCGATAGAAGTTCTTTCTTGCTGCTTCTCTGGATTCATCACGGGCCTCTCCGCCCCTCCCCACCCGCCCTCCTGCATGCCTATCTTTCATCACCCCATTTCCACTCACCCCAGCCCCTCTACTCACAGCCAGTGCGGCACGTGGAAGAAGTGGGGGCGGGGGTCTGTAGCCCTGGCGCTCACCCCCTGGCGCTCACCCCTGGCGCTCACCCCCTGGCGCTCACCCCCTGGCACTCACACCTCGTTGTTGCTTGATTCATGAACAGGACTAGAAGCCATCCTGCCGCATGCCACCTCTCTCTTGCCCTTGCCTGCCATCGTGCACATGCCACGATCCATCCTAGCTGTGACTTCTCCTTGCACACCAGCGTTGGACGACGTGCTGTGCTCCCCCATGTTTCCCATCACCCCTGCGCTCGCCTATCTGCACTTCCCTCTCCCACTTCTTCACAACCTGCACCACCCTCTCCCCACCTTCCCCTACCTTCGTCCTGCACATCCCCCCCCTTCCCACCTGTGCCATCCCCCTGCCAGGCGCCCTTCAGAGCGGCAAAGGCGTGCCTGGCGTTGAAGCGCTATGCAGAAGCCATCACGTGGTGCGACGCTGCTCTAGCGCTGCCCTGTGCTGCCCCAGCAGACCTGCTCAAGCTGCGCGGCGAAGCAGAGAGCAAGCTGGCCGTGCTGCAGGCTGCGGCAGCGCGCAGCACCGCCATCCGCAGCAAGGCGGAGCGCCTGGCGGCGTGCATCACGCAGCGTGGCGTGCGCATGGGGCGCGCCGCGTACAAGGCGCTCAGCGGCGCGCGCAAGCCGTGGGTGGACGAGACAGGGACGGTGCACTGGCCGGTAGTGGTGGTATACCCTGAAGTCATGGGCAGCGATTTGATCGAGGACGCGTGTGAGACGGACACGCTGGGAGCGCACGTGCGGGAGATGTTTGGTGCGCACACACCGCCACTGGAGTGGGACACAGCGGGGGCGTACAGCGCAGACGCCGTGCAGCTCTTCCTGCGCACCAGCGCCGTGCCTGCTGTTGCCAGCGCTGCCCTGCCACGCGCCCTGCTGGAGGACGCTGCAGGGCTGACGGACGAGGATAACCATGCCATGGCGGGTGCGGGAGAGGACGATGGGGATGACGGGCCTGATTGGTCGGGTGAGTGGAAGGCGAGGTGGCTCGGCCTTGCACTCGCTCACTCATCATTTTCCTCCAGGCATGTGGTCTTTTCCCGTTCCATCTCTGGCGAAGAACCCTCCTTTTCCATTCTGCCTTTCCATCTCTATCCCTTCCCTCCCTCCGAACCCCTCTCCCTTTCTCTCTTTAACTCTCACTCCTCGTACCGCATGAATGTCCCCTCGCATGTGCTCGTCTCGCCACTAAATTCACCCACATGTGCTACCGCTGCAGCATCTGGCGAGCAGCAGTGGGTGCAAGTGCCTCTCGACCAGCCCCTCGCCAAAGTGCTCACACTACCCAATCATATCGTTCCAGGTGTCCCTGGTGAGTCGTCGTTTTGCCACTCATGTGTTGCACTTGTGCTTACTTGCCTCCTCGCCTGATGATGCCCACTGACAAATCCCTGGGCATATCTCGTGCCATTCATCTTGCATGCAAAGTCTTTGCGGACGTCCTACTCGCAGCAAGTACTCGAACTTGGAGGACTTTCAAGTCATGTTTGTCATTTCAACAGTGTGTTTCTCGTTTCTTTCTCCACACTCCGAACCCCCCGTTCCCTTGCCCGCCCCGCGCCCCTCTCTCCACCCCTAATGCCCTACGCATTATGCTGTGCAAACCGCATGTCAGTATTCTATGCTGTGTCAACAAGAAGCCTCTTCTATGGCACTTTCACGTCAGGCAAATGGGTTCCACCTTAGCACAGCAGTATGCAAATCCATTATACACACCACATTGTTTTTGCAAAAAGAGTCTGTTCAGAGTGTTGGACTAAAACAGACATTTCTTGCTGTTGTCAGGCTGTTTCATCGGTGTTTACCTATACCAAGGGTACATTCCCAAGTTAGGTACTTTGGCCCGAATGCAATAAGGAGGTTGACTGGATTGTGGTTGTGGTTTGGAACATCCATATTACGGATTTGTTGTAGTTGGGACGATCAATGTTGCAGAGAGTACCGTATTCAGTGTACAGGGCTCAATCTAAACACCAAAATGCAAACTGAAAGCTGTACACTATGAAAACATCACACACCCCATCCTGCCTTTCAAGTAACTCAGTAAAGGCCACTAAAATGTACACTTCGAAATCTCGTGCTCCAAATGATTTCGCAAATTCCAATGAAGAAACATTTCATTCAAGCAACTGGGATCTCGATGGCCGAGGGGGTAGCCTCGGGCGGAGTTTCCTTGGCCATAGTGACAGTGAGCACACCATTCTTCATCTCCGCCTTAATCTGATCCGTGAGAACGTTATCCGGAAGGGCCAGAGTAGTCTGCAAAACCAGCAACATTACAAATTTGAATCGACGATGATGCAAAACATCAACACTTTAGATAAAATGCGCGTCAAGTATTTGTTCTGCAGATTGGTCAGGACACATGAAGTAGCAACTTCTCAAGGCACCTCACCTGGTAGGACTTGGCGATGCGCGCATCCCAGAGTCCCTCTCCCTCCTCTCCGCCCTTCTCCTCCGCCTTGTGCTCTCCGCGAATCACCAGATTGCCATTCTCCAGCTTCACCGACACCTCCTCCTTGGACATACCTGCATGCGTCCACCACCAAAAACGCCAGCAGAGAAATATGAAATAACTCTTCGGTTGCGAATCTACTTTTTTTTTGAATGGTATGAGACGGGAGGCAGCGCGAGCGGCGCACCGGGGCATGTCGAGGCGCATGTGGAAAGGCGTCGTCCGTTTTCGCGCAAGTCCCACGGCGTCCTCACCGCCACACCGGGGCGCGCGGCAGCGCTGCTGGCGCGAGCGGCGATGTGGCGCGGGGAGAGAGAGGGGAAGCGCGGCATCATGGGCAGCAGGAGCGAGTCGTCCGCAACATGCGATCCACGGAGTCGAGAAGCTGCGTCAGCGAGCGGTTCGCCGGGAAACGGGTCGAATAGGTCTGCCAGGCATGAACGGGCGACGACGAGAAATGTCACAGGTCAACTTGCCCTCGAAGGTCAGACTCACACGGATGAAAAATAATATACGACAGGAATTTGAACGGGCATAAAGATTCAGGATGTCATCGCGAAATGCGTTCCATCCTCGCACTTCTACCTGAAAAGGCCCCAAGGGGAGCGACGGCACGGGATGCCAGGTCCCTCTGTCCCCTCCTCTCCACCGCCATGGGCATCGCCTCGTGGCTGCATCATCTGCTTCTCATCATGCGACTGCTGCTGGGATGGCTGTTGCTGCTGCTGAGGCTTCTCCGCTGATGCGAAGATAGTGCGGGACCCTGACACGCCGCGAGGCGCCTTCAAAATGTCTGCGTCGGGAAGTGGAAGGAGTCGATGTTTGCATAAGGGTGCAGTTTTGCGATGCAAAAACTTTTATGGGCATGGTGCACAAGAGAACCGAATTCATTGTCGCAGCAACACGAATGGCGTACCTGGCTTCTTGAGAAGAAGAGGAGCTCGCAGAAGGCGAGGCACGCTGCGAAGCGCAAGAGCAGTTGCGGAAGCCATGGTGACAATCGGTCCGCAAAGATTCAAGCAGCACAAGGAGCTCTCTACTTTCGCGACAATTTAAGATGCAACGGGCGTGTTCAACGTCTATGGGTGATGACCTTGCAGGCTTTGCGAGCGTTGCGAGCTTGGCAAGCGTTGCGTTGCTCAGCGCTGAATATATCGAAGAGGCTTTGGATGACAAATTCTAGCACCTGCATTGCCTATTATACTTCCTCAGAGCTATTGATGAGCATCATCACCACCACATTGCATGAAAGCGGCATGCGATTCCATTCTTACGCGCCTCGGTGTTTCCAGAAGATTGTGTCACAATATTCCTGCTTACGTGGCGATCTTTTTGGCTTCATGACGCAAACCATTCACACGTCTGCATGGTGTGACGTATGCTTTGGCTTTTCCAAAGCGGATGCGAACACTCGAGACATATCTCGATCGAGTTGGAGCACATGATTGCACCGTCCAGACGGTGATGCATTGGTTTGCATGCCGATGTGTATGATAAAATGTTTTGGCGTGTGTTGTGCGACATTCGGTTGTGTGCTGAGTGCGAAACATGGTTACCATACATATCGGTCGACCTTAAATTAGTCCAGCAGCTCATATTTCTCTGTAAAAAAGGAACTGTTAAGGCTAAAAAGGCAGTAAATGACCTACCAACTCGACTAATAATGAGGGGCTACTTACTCTCCTGACAACAAAATACCAATCATCCTCTAGTGGTTAGTGCCCCCTAGATTGTTGTTCGAAAACACAGGTGGTTGTGACTACGTTGTACTACTACAATGACCGCGTCCATCCAGTTGGGTAACTGTGTTGGTGTTGCAATCCCAAGTCGCCGCAGGAAAAGTGTGTAAAAGAATGTGGAGGAGAAGTGCGAAGGATGCTGAGTTGAACAGCAACTGGAGTGGCGATTCGTCCAACCGACCATGTCGAGAATGGGAAAGAAAGAGAAGGGGCATCGCAAAAAGGGAAAGGAGGGTCACACACAACAAAGAATATTAGAAAGGCGTTAAAAAAAATACAAGGACAAAACAACCAAAACGGGAGTGGAATGGAGGGACAAAGCAAGAGCATGCACCAGACAAGTAATTCCCATGAAGCGGCACAGCGAGGAGACTTATTGACGAGAAGAGCATGGCACATGGAGAAGTGAGCATGACATGGCACATGGTGGTAGAAAGCCGTGGCTAAACCCAATGCCCCGGTCTGCGGCACTTGGTGGCGGGGTGGGGGAGTGAGAGGGGCACGCACGAGGGTGGTGAAGATGACGGTGATGAGGGAGAAGGAGGGCACGAGGCTTGGCACTGATGCCCGCAAACACGTGTGAGAGCGATGCTTGCACGTTCATGAGGATCTGAGGGGCGCGCACAGAGGGATGACAGGCGGAGTAAAGGGGGGATGAGGAGAGGGATGAACGAGTTGGGTACAGGGGTAGAACAGGGGAGGGGAGGAAGAGGCATGCAAGGCGATTTAAAGAGCAGAGTGGAGTGCTTGGCAGCATGGTGGGAGGTTGGACGCATGGACATATGGCTAGACATAGATGCAAAAAAGGAGGAACATGATTGCCGTGTGAGTGGGTGAGCGGCACGGACCAGTTTGAGAATGTTTTCTCGAATGAGCCACGAGGAGAGCAGCACAAAGGACACTGCGCCTGCTGCCCGCACCTGAGGCACGCGAGACAGAGATGGCAGAAGGAGGGAGTGGTTGGGTGGAAAGAGGATGGCGACACAAGGGCATACAGCGGCAGAAGTGCAAATGCCACAAAATCATCACAGCTGCAAAGTGGTCATGTTGGCTCACACAGAGGTGCATGGGAAGAATCACAGGGGAGAGGGAGCGCCGCGAGCGAAAGTGGAAGGGCGGTGGGGTGAGAGGCAGGCTTACGAATGTGCAGGCGAGGATGGAGATGGGCCAAGACAGACCGAGACTGCAGAGAAGGGAGGTGAGCGGGCAGAGAGGAAAGATGGGAGACGGTGAGGAAGCAGAGCATGCAGGGACAGCGCGTTGCAGTGAGCAGCAAGGAGATGAGAATTTGAGGTCCAGAATTCAGATCTTCCACATGGATCCGAGGAATGGCAGGTGGTCGGTCGATTACAGGATACACAGACCGGCTCGTAGCTACCAACACACACCCAAGGAGCACAAGATTGCGTGAACGTTTAACGTGCAAGGCACACACACGTGCACACACGAGCGCTCACCCCCAGCAGAGACCGAGAGTGGAGCCAAGAAAGCCGTGCAGCAGCTGAGACGAGAATGGCACAAGGGGGTGAGAATCGGATGGGAAGAGGGGCAGGGGATGGACGTGAGAGAGAGAGAAAGGAGGAGGGGAGGGGAGGAGAAGAGGAAACGTGATGCAAACAGGGAGTGCGGGAGGGAGACGGGAGTGAGAGAGAGAGGGGGGGGTAGGATAAAGAGAACAAACGGGAGATGGGACAAGGCAAAGGAGAGTACACATCAGTGAAGTGGAGAAGGCGAGCACTTAAAAAAAGAGAGAGAGTGGGGAAACGGTCAAATACGGGTGGGAGGCAGACGAATGGTGAGGTGAGCACCACAGTGAGGGGCTTACGAGAAACGTGATTGCTTTAATGGGCCCGGCGAGGACGAGCAGCAGAAACGCTGCCGATACCTGAGTGCACGGAGGGGGGGGGTGGGTGCGGGAAGAGAAAGGAGCAAGCAGAGTGGCAACGGGAAGGGAGGGCGGGGGAGAGAGAGAAACGGAGAGGAGAAGAAGGTTAGGAGTGGGGGAGGCGGGTCGAGGGAGAGAGGGAGGGGAAGGCGAAGGAGTGAAGGAGAAGTGCGCATGGGCATGGAGGAGAGAAGTCGCATGCTGGGATGCTGTCACAATGGGGCCAGTGCAAGGGGCAAGACTTCAAAGTGCTACACAAAGCCCACGTGGCTTGGAACAGCTCTCACGTCCAACTCTCTCGCCTCTCTCGCCTTTCTTGCAATGCTATGCCTCCACTCCCTACTCACCTGCAATCCCAATCCCTCCAAATCCCGTTCATCCCCTCCTTCCCATTCCCCCCTTTCCTCTCCATATCCTTGACTGTCAACTACCCCAATCCCCCCTCTCGCCCTCTCCTTCCCCCAATCTTGCTCCCCTTCCTCTCTCATCCCCTCTCCCCTCCCTTCGCTCGCTCATTCCCCTTCTCCTCCCCTTTTTCATCTCATCCGTCTCCCCGTTTCCCTTTCCCCCGTTCTTTCCAGTCAGCTTCTCCTCCCCCCCCCCCCCCCCCCCCAATCACTTCCCTTCTGACCCGCTTACCAACCCCCAACCTTCCCATCCCCTCAACTCTCATCCCCCCAACCTTCGTAATTCCCCTCACCCCAATCCCGCCCCTCCTTCTCTCCCATCCCCCTCTTCCCTCCCCTCCCCCTTCCCCCCCTCAAAACTCCCCCTCCCCCGTACCGCGGTGCGCAGGCCGGTGGTGGCGCCCCAGCGCATGGAGGCAACAACAGCGGGGAGCGGGAAGAAGAACCCGAGGTAGCCCTCCACGCGCAGCGAGTTCGCCAGGAAGAACGCCAGCCCCGACGTCGCCGCCAGCATCGCCGTCTCCACCATCTGAAGCGTCTCGCGGAACCGCGCGCTGCTTCCGCCCTCCGCCTCCGCGCCCATCTCCGGACCTGCCTCCGCGGCTTCGTCCGCGATGCAGTCCCCACTCTCCGCGCGCGCATCCGCGCCTGCGCCCTCTCTTCCCGCCCCTGTTGTACTGCCCCCGTGCGGCGGAGGTTCCGAAGCGGTTTCTGCCTGGTTCAACGCGGCGGCGGCACCCCTCCCGGGAGTTGCGCTACCATCGTCCCTGTCCGCGCCCGCGGCGTGCTGTCCTTTCCCTGCCGCCGCCGCCGCCGCCGCCGCCGCCGCCGCCGCCGCCGCCGCCGCCGCCGCCGCCGCCGCCGCCGCTGCGGGTGAGGGCACAACGGGCGGCGGCACAGGAGCAGATAACGGGCGCGAAGCCCCGTCTGAGCCGCGGCTACCCCCCGCGCTGCCCGCTGCCACGCGCACGCGCCACCGATGGCTGCCCCGTCGACCACTGCTGTCTACCCCCTCGCTTTCACCTCTGCTGCTAATGTTACCCGCGGAGCAGTCGGTGCCACATGTCCTCCTTCTACTCGACCAGTCAGCGGCGGCAATGTGGCGGCCATGGAGCGCCGCGCGGGTAGGTATCTGCGGCGAGTGGGTTAAAACCCTAACCCTGGCCTTCTGGTTACCCGTCGTCAAGCTTTCGCAGAATATGGCCTCCCGAGAGTGCGAACTGTGCGATCTCCTGACATACAGCTTGATGTGAGACGGAGATGGTAAGGGATGGAGAGAACGGGAGCAGCGAAGCGGCGTGAGGTGAAGAGGAGCGTCCTCTCTTGACCTGCCATGACCACATGGGTGCACGTCACGTGCCGATTCGCCGAGAAGCGTTAATCCGCCACGTGTTAGCACGTCATGAGCTGTCGACGGACTACTGGCGAGAGGACGGCGAGTGAGTGTGGCGGAGAGACATGGCGAAAAAAACACTTGCGCCGACATTCGATAAAAACCGCCCGTTCGCACCCGCCTTCGCAAACAGGCCCGCAATCCTCAGCCGCCGCCGCCGCCCCCCGACCCTGCCGTTGCCGCATACGCAACGGCGATCCGCGACTGGCCCGTTGTTACAGCGATAAAACTAAGACTAGGGTACGTAGTAAGTGCCAATCCCGCGCCCCGACAACCCTAAGAAAAAGCTTCAACGAACAAGTAGCTGAGTGCCACAAATCAGAGTTGACAAATCACAAGCGGCATAACGAGCGACGTGGCAGTTAGCGATAACAAGGCTGTGATCGGTACGTCCCACTCGGAGTGAGCCCACTCGGAGTGGAGAGGCTCGGTGGAGTGCACCGACATCCACCGAGATGGAGGAGTTTCCGTTTCCTTCCCAAGCCCGCTGTGAATTTCGCCCTCCAAGGGTTAATCGGCACGTCCGCGTAACTCCGAGTGAGGAAGTTGCGAGGGGCCTCACTTCACTCTCACTTCCCGAACCGCACTCTGCGTGGAGCTTGAAGCTGACCCTAAAAGCTGGAGTTCGTGGTGGGCCCACTCGGGATGGGGTTGCCCGTAACTGAAGGTTCCTGCTGGATTCCTAGGTCTTCAACTCGGGGTGCGATAAACTGGCCCTGTTCGACAGGCTAACACCGACGGCCGCAGAATCCTCGCAGCTCTTTCGTTTTCGCATTTTTTTCCACGGTCAGCCCGTAAAATTCTCGTATGGGGCTTTAACCCCCGCTAACCTGTTGGCAGAGTGTTAGCCTGTCGAACGCACTCGATAATTGACCCCTTCGCCCTTTCAGAAATTACCGCGAGCCTTCCCACACGGGCAAAGGTCTAGCCCTCGCCTAGTCTAACCCTCGCCCCCCAAAAGAGGGGTTTGCCAAAGGGCTCGCCAAGTGTTTGCAGTGGGAGGAACACCCACTCCGTGGACCCTAAAATAGGTCCTTGTGAACCCGTTAGGTTGAAAAAAAATCTTCCATTCAAAAACAATCTTTCTTGAGAGGCGAGCGATTTGTGGAGAAGGACTTTGTTTTTCCGTCGTTGTTACCCAGACCCCTTTGGCGAGCGGCCAAAACTTTTCTACTGTGCCCGCCTAAAGGCAGGTTGAAGGGGGCGGGCAGCTTCGCCTTGTGGGGCCCGCTCCTTCCGACTCCTACCCACGAAGCTTCAGCGGTCGATCAACTCGTAGAAGTTTCGGTGAACCCTCCTTTTAACACTAACCTAACACTAACACTTTGCAGAGTGTTAGCCTGTCGAACAGGGCAACATTTTGTCCCATTTTTGCCCACCGGGGTGGAAAGGCACGGTGAGATTACATCGAATACGGGGGCTAACCTGGTGCGACTCGGGAGTTTGTGAACCCCTGCGCAGCTTCGGCAATCGGAGTGAAGGGCGTACTGATCACCGCCCTAATGTCGTCAACATTAGGGAATCTACATGGTAGATCTCCCTCTTACTGTGTTCTAGTACGGTGCAGAGCGTTGACCGTCTGAAGTGTTGGTTTAGGCTGTAGGCTGTAAAAATTATTAATACGTAGGTAAGAAACAAAGGGAAAAATTGTGAAAGTTAAACATTAATGGGCCCCATTAATGCATACGGTAACCATTTCAATGTTTTATCGAGCGTTTGGTAACTCGTTTCATGGAATGGTAACTAAAAACTGGGGAAAAAATCACGTGAATGGTAACTACGTTTCTTGAGATGTAACTCTCCCATGTGTAATCTAAAGACGACTCTCGCTGAGGCCTCTGAGATTCGCGATTCTGTTTATCTACTGACAAACCGTTTCAGATTACCTTATTTTACCTCGAACAAAAGTGTCTCGATGCGATCATATTTTGCTCATAGTGCACGCCTGAAATAATAAAACCTATTATCAATGTGCTCATATATATATATATATATATATATATATATATATATAGCATGGTCTAATTTTACAAGTGTTACAATCCCAAGTGGGACTTAGCGAAGGATCGCTCATGGTTGATCGCAGTGTAGTGTTGAAGCGGAAGAGTTGACCTCAGGTCAGAGTGAATGTAAATGATTGAGTTTGATAACAGCATGCATACATCGAGTTTATATAGGAAATACAATGGAATACGAAACGACCTAGACTAGCCATGTGTCAGAACTATACTCAGGCTGTAGTGGGGCACTCCTTATGGGGTACAGCCCTGTTAGGTTTTGCCTATACAAACCCTGTACTGTTCTCATTCTAGTCATTCTCGTTCCTTACTTTGTGACATGGTTTCAGAGGAGGTTCCCTAGTGGGAACGTTTTTTTTAGGGCCCACCGCATTAGTTTCTTTTTTTTTACCTGCCCTGCCCGAAGCGCGCATCGCGCCTGCCTTACCTGCGCCGTCGCGCGCCCTGCCCTGCTGCCGCCCTTAGCGGCCCTGCCCGTCGCGGCCTTACCCTAGCGACCCGTCGCGGCCCTGTTCTAGCCGCCGTTCGCGGCCTTGCCCTGTCGCCGCCCTTCGTGGCCCACCCTAGCCGTCGTCGCGGCCCACCCTAGCCGTCGTCGCGGCCCACCCTAGCCGTCGTCGCGGCCCTGCCCTGCCGCCTTTCGTCGCGGCCCTGCTCTCTGCCGCGCGTCGCGGCCCTGCTCTCCGCCGCTCGTACCGGCCCTGCCCTGCCGCAGCTAGTCGCGGCCCTGCTCTCCGCCGCCCCGACGCGGCCCCTGACGCGGCCCTGACGCCGCCTCGACGCGGCCCTGCCCTGCCGCCGCTTGTCGCGGCCCTGCTTTGCGCCGCCCCGACGCGGCAGCCGCCGAGACGCGGCTCTGCCCTACTGCTGCTCAGTCGCGGCCCTGCTCTACCGCCGCCTCGTCGCGGCCCTGCCCTGCCTACCAGTCGCGGCCCTGCCCTGCCGGCTTGTCGCGGCCCTGCCCTACCAGTCGCGGCCCTGCTGCTGCTACTGCTACTACCACTGCTGCCATGGCTAGCCCTAGTGTTCTTACCTTCGATGCTGAGGGTCGAGCGGTCGATTTCGAGGTATGGGTCGATGACCTGCAGCTCTTTCTGCAGTGCGACTCTAGGGACGGAGTTTCACTGTTCGATCACACGTCTGGCGCCTCTGTTGCACCTGCTGCCGATGCTGACAGTGCAGTTCGCTCGCAGTGGAACACTCGTGACGCTGCAGCTCGCCTCGCTGTTCATAGCCACCTGCCGTCTGCTGAGCGCGCACACTTTAGCCAGTACAAGACTGCTAAGACTCTGACGCTGTTGTTGCGCGCTACTCCTCCCCTGCCTCTGCTGCCCTCAGCCGCCTCATGCTGCCGTACCTGTTCCCTGACCTAGCCGCTTTTGCCACAGTCGCTGACCTCATTACCCACCTCCGCACTAGTGACACCCGCTACCGCGCTGCGCTTCCTTCCGAGTTCTGCGCCAAGAACCCCCCCCCTATGTACATCACCCTCTTCTACCTCGTCACCCGGCTCCCTGACTCCCTTCGCTCAGTCAGGGACCACTTCCTCTCCCTTTGCCCCACCGAGCTCACCGTTGACCTCCTCGAGGAGCGCTTCCTTGCAGCTGAGAAGAGCTTAGTCGCTGTAGGAGCCTCTCGTGGTGACCCTCGTGCCCCTTTCTTCGAGGGGTGCTCCCCTGTCCCCCTTTTGCCCACTGTTGCCTCTGCTGCTGCTGTCGACCTCGTTGGCACCGAGTCGGTCAGGGCTGCGTCTGCTCCTAGTGGGAGGCGCCGCAACAGCAAGGGAAAGGGGGGGCAAGGGTGGTGGAGGGGACGGCGGGGGCGGCGGTGGTGGCGGTGGAGGAGGTGGAGGGGGTGGGGGTGGAGGTGGGGGGTGGTGGCGGGAGTGGGGGCTTCGGTGGTGGTGGTGGAGGTGGAGGCGGCGGTGGCAGCGGCAGTGGGGGTGGTGGCGGCGGTGGTGCTGGTCGGGGAGGCTTTGGCGGTGGCCAGCGCCAGCAGCAGCAGCGTTCCCGTGAGACCCTGTCGCCCCAGCAGCTTCGTGAGTGGTACGCTGGGCGTGGGAGGTCTGGGGGTGCTGGTCCCTGCGCGTATGTTCTCCGCACCGGCGAGCGCAGTGGGGAGACGTGCAGGCTACCGCACGCTACGCACCGCTGTTTCGGCCGCCTGACTGACGCCTGGCGTGCACAGTTTCCTGACGCCACTGAGCTCCCTCGCTGGGGTGATCTGCTTAGGTCGGGGGTTGCTATCTTTGATCTTGAATATGATGCTATCCTTGCTGCTATGTATGCTGTGACTATTAGTGCTGAGGATGACTGTAACCTGTGTGTTCCGCCCGACCCGGGCATTGAGGCTGCTGCTCTAGGTGCTAGTGAGTCTGCTGCTCTAGGTGCTAGTGAGTCTGCTGCCTCAGGTGCTGGTGAGTCTGCTCTCTCAGGTTCCGCGTCGGCTCAGGTCCTGCACACCTTCACCCTTTACTCAGGTGCTTCCCGTTCCTTCTTTTGCGACTGCACCACGCTCACGCCGCCTCAGTCGGCCAGTGGCAGTCTCCCTGGCTGACCCCTCTGGGGGTCCAGTCCTTGCGCACTCTTCCACGGTTCTGCCGTGTCCAGCGGTCCCGTCTGGCTCACTGTCGGGTCTTCACCTCCCCTCGTTCTCCACGAACTTGGTGAGTGGAGCTGACCTTCAGGACGTGTGGGTTGACCAGTTCACTCCTGGAGGTCAGCGGGTGACCCACTGTACGTGTACTCGGACGGGCCGGCACCTGGCCACGTTTACCCGTCAGCCTGGGTCGAGCCTGTACACCCTGACTACCGTGTCTCCTCCAGTTGCTGAGTCTGGTCAGGTAGCCGCGTCTGGTCAGGTGTTTGCTGCAGCGTCCCGGTCTGGTCCTGAGTCTGCCCCCTGCTCGTGTCGCCTCCTGACTCACCAGACTCTCCTCTCGCACCACCGCCTTGGTCACCCCTCCCTGCCTCGTCACCGAGGCATGGCCTCCCGTGTCCTTGTCTCTGGTCTTCCCCGGTCTCTCCCTCCCCTCCCCCCGGGGCCTGCCCCTACCTGCGTTCCTTGCGTCAAGGG